GTTTTCCCTTAATAATAAAAACCTTCATTTAAAAACTGCATGTTGTGTTCACTTGTGCTATCTTTTACTAATATTTAAATTTGTTTGATGATCTGAAACATTAAAGTGTGACAAACATGCAAAAAAATAAGAAATCAGGAAGGGGGGCAACACTTTTTCACACCACTGTATATAGGCGATCAGTCTGTTATAAAAAAATACAAAATAAACATAATCCTGCAGAGAAGTATCCACCAATCAGAGAACTGGAGCTCTGACTCAACACTCTAAAAAATGCTGGGTCGTTTCAACCCACCTTTGGGTCAAATATGGACTAACTCAACCGTTGGGTTAAATTGTTACATTACATTTTTAACCCAAAAGTTGGGTTAGTCCATATTTGACCCAAAGTTGGGTTGAAACAACCCAGCATTTTTTAGAGTGAATCTTTTGTAACATAATTGTCATTCAAAGTGTAAAATACATGCTGAAACGCATTTAAAGGGATTTAAAGGTGCACTCTAAAAAATGCTGGGATGTTTCAACCCAACTTTGGGTCAAATATGGGCTAACCCAACTTTTGAGTTAAAAATGTCATGTAAAAATTTAACCCAATGGTTGGGTTAGTCCATATTTGACCCAAAGTTGGGTTGAAACGACCCAGCATTTTTTATAGTGTGACATGACACACAAGAGGTCTGGTCTTTTAACCATGAAAACATCCTGCACTTCCTCCTTGTTATAAACAAATATGTATTTTATCAGACTCTAAATAAAACTCATTTGGATATTGTGGGATTTGTGATGTCACATATGCAAATATATTTGCTTATGGCTGTTGGAAAACTTTGATCTCGTTGTCATGTGGTTGAACAAGCTACAAATAGTTAAAAATGAACCAGCGCTGTCCATCTGTTCGAATGGGTTTAATCCAGACAGACAGCAACAGCGGCTATATTTGCAGCATTTTTTGGTAAATATTAACACAAAATGTCCATTGATTGTTATGTTTGCAGTAGCATTTTTTTCTGTGGAGTTATAGAGAGAGAAATGTAATCAGTTTTTCTTATGTGTAATATTTTGAGAGAATGGGGATTCTCTCATAACATCTGTTTTTCATGTTCAAGGTTACATTATATATTTGTCGTTTTATTTCTGTTTATGTTATTACATTTATTTTTATGTTGAGTAACAAAATAGAGGTTAACTCATCTCTTTCTCTGCAAAGTATAAACTGGACATGACAATTTCTGTCACAGTTCTTAAGATATTATTAAGATGAATAATGATAGTCTTAATACCATGTAGTGTGTGATGCGCCACGATTTTAAAATATTGCAGTGTTTGAGTTTTGAGAGAAGACAATCTGTAAAGCTCTCCTTGTTCTCCTGATTTCATAATCCTGGACAGGATTTCTGAAGGTTCGGCCAAGGTTTTTTTCTCAGATTGTCAGGTAAATCGGGGATAAATCGGCCTAAAACTATAGTGTGAAACCAGTTTAAAAGAAGATCCTCTTTGACGTGTCCAGTTTAACCATTCGTTTGTGTCTCTGTAGAGACTTCAGAAGGACCTCCGTGGCAGAAGGTGCATAGATTATTTTTAATAATTTCCCAGATCATGCCTGAGTATTATATGTTTGTTCAATCGTAAACTAATAAACTAACCAAACATTTTCTCCGTGTCACATTTAGATAGTTCACAATGAAACTTATGTTGACAGATAAAGCAGCCAACTGTATTGGATCTGACAGCAGCTGCATCGCAAAATGTAAGTACAAAAATTCAGAATGGTTTTATATGGATGATGTTTTCAAAACACTTACATGCAATAGCGAGGGGGCACAGTATTTCCTATGCACAGTGCTGGTATTACTTACGAACTGTAGTGCATTACTGATTACATGATGAAAACTGTGGTTAGTAATGTAATCTAGGTTACACATTTTAGATAATTTATTCTGACTACTTTTTAGATTTACTTTTTTTCAAACTTGTTTTAAACATACCATATTAATATAAAAAAGTAAAGAGAAAGAAAATATATTCCATTTTTTATATCAACATCATAAAATGCATTAAACTTAACACCAGGAATTCCCAAACTTGGCTTAATGTAAGAACTGCAGTGGGTTTGTGAGTTGATGATAATTAATTAAATCATAAAAAGTTACATAAAAATAATTTAAACACTTGAACACTAAAAATCTTCCAGGTTTGAAATATTTTGTCCAGACCTCCAGAATCAGCAGTTAGCACTGGATATAATGACAACACAGTGTTTAGTACCTTAGATAATTATATGTTTCATACATGGTCTAATAGCTTGAGAGGTGCTAGAGCAAGCATGGTTTACACATTTATTTGCATGACATGTTATGATACGCGGTAGGATTTTAGAAAGGTAAATTAAAATTGAAAAATTTTTTGATTTTTTTTTTTA